CTAGCTAGCTTGCAATGTTTTTGTTTAAGGAGTTGACAGCCCCTCCGAGGCAACTTCCCTAACCTCAACCATGGCATTAGTTAGTGCCTAAACCTAAGTCAGTAAATATATGCACGTCGACCGACTAACCCTTCAGCCTCCTTTGTGTTGCAACGCTATTGCAAACTGCAGTGTATCATATACATGCAAAATCGCCGTTTTGCGTACAATGGACACGGCTTTTCCAAAGCGTGTATATGTGGCGCATGAGATGTGATGGGATTGAGAGTATTCCCAATTCAAGTCTCAAGTCTCTGAGCTAGTCAAAGTCAATTCTCAAGTCACTCGTGGTTATAATGAATGTTGTATCTCCTGTTGCGTTCAATCCAGGCTGCTTAGAACACTGCATAGCTATAAGGAATTCTGTAACTGTAACCTGTTTTTCACTTACAGAGCACAGCCATGTAATGTGCAATGCAATTAATGACAGCTTATTAACTAGCCTAGTAAATCAACACATCCCCCAGACTCTAAAACCCAGTTAACGTTAACTAAATAAAACTGTAACGTTACATTATCAACAATAAACCTGTAACCTGTTTGCAACGTTAATAACTAACGTGATGGCAGCAAGCGGGACGTTCATGATTACGTTAATAGACCACCACAAGTTTGGCAAGCAAACGAACACTCATTCATCTTTTCATAATGAACAACAGTTTGAGTTAACCACCCGTAAGTCGTAGCTAAAGCAAGAAGCAAGCTAACGTTAGATGGCCAATGCTGGGCTAAACATGTTTACTAACCTCAAGTTACCTATTTTGCATTCAGCGCTTCTTTGTTTATGATGAATGGCTCAGCAGCTGCGGTGTTTGTTGTCCTCTCTCACGTGTGGCTGCCTGCAGCAGATACTACGTGTTATGTAGGCAGATTATAGGTAATGGAGTGAGGGTAATAACAGCATGCTCATCAGACGTTTCCTAAAAATAAACAGTGTTCAAGAGTCCCACACCCCGAGTCTGAGTCAAGTCTGAAGTCTTTTGAGGACAAGTCGCAAGTCGAGTCTGAAGTCACTGTGTGTGCGACTTAAGTCTGACTCGAGTCCGAGTCTCAAATTTGAGTTTTTATTATTCAATCTTTCTGTTGTAAGCATCGGCTACATATTGCTGACAGACTTCAACTTTAAGTGCAGTTGTGCAGATAGACAGATTTTCTATATGATGGGGGGAATAAACCCCAAAACTTATAAATAAGACCCAGAGTGTAAAGTAAACTGAATTTTCCGACAGAATATTTACCAACTTACAAAAACCGAAAGCCAGATCCAATCTGACAGCAGACGGCTGCTGATCTCCCATCCTGTTTCTGTTACATACTTAACATTTCATCACCTGCCCGTTCATTTGGGCAGACAGAAGCTGAAGAATCAGACTTCTTTGTTTCTATGTATACGCTGGCGGTGACTCAGCAGGTAGAAGAAAATGCCCCACTGCTAAATGTTGCCATAAAGCTAAAAGCAGCCACCTGCTGAGATAATATTTCTCTTACTTCATTACTGTTGTTTATGAGCAGCCTCACTGTTCTGTTGCCTTAATAACCTTCTGTTGTAAATAACAGCTGTGGTGACGATAAATAACCTCCCTGCTGCATGCTTTGGCTGAAAACCCTAATTTTCTTCTCTTACATACTCTTCTCTGTACGACATTTTTTGCAACAAGCATCATCTCTTTCTTTAACCCTTACCCTGAGCTAGCTTTAGCCATCTTGTTACATGTGAAGAGTTCTGCTCCAAAATGCAATAGCCACTACTGCAAAGAGTGACACCCATTTTTTTTTATAGTAAAAAAGTCCAACAAACAACGTTATTTAAAAAATGTTATTACCTGGTAAATTTATAAACCCTTTCAAAGTTGGATCCTGTAAATGGATATTTAGCATCGTGGAAGTGAACTCCTCATTACCAAAGCCACGGCAGGCCACCAACATTTAGAGGAAGCAGTGCACACAGCTGTAGTAAATTGAAATAACTTGAATGATACATTCCACTTTTGCTGCGCATTTATTTCCACCTCCATCCTACTTCTTGGAGCCTTTGATTTTTAAGACTTTTTCTTAATATGGTGGAAGCCATGGATGTATTAAAAGAGCTGGATGCAGAGTCAGTCAAGCTGCAAGTTTGGCCCAGTGGCCGAATCTTGTACTTAAACTGTTGTCATCTTAAACCTTAACCATGGTCAGTTAGTACTATTTGTATTAGGAGTTTTTACACTGTAAAGATTTTATATTTTATATGACTTTGTGTTATTTATGTTTCTATGGGGGGTCGCCTCACAGCAAGAATTGCCCTTAAATTGCGTGACAGGTTGTTCGTGTCTGTGTGCCCTGTGATGGACTGGCGACCTGTCCAGGGTGTATCCCACCTTTCACCCTAGGCCAGTTGGGATTGGCTTCAGCAACCATGCACAGATAAGCGGGTATAGATGATGGATGGATTTTAGTATGAGCCTGAAATCATCTCAGGGGTAAAGCTATATGCTATTGCACTGATGGACACATCGCAGTAACATGCCAATATAGCAATGACCCTACAATGGGTCGAAGATGGCGGCTGCTAGGATAACATGGGTGCACGCAAAGAAAGATGTTGGTGGCATTTCAATGAACTGGTCACCTTTAGCTCACTGAAGGAAGGAAATGGATACAGACACACACAGTGTGATTTGGTGAGAAACACTAAATGTATGTATGTTTTTGTTTAAAAGGAAACTCCACAGGGGACCTTTAATTAATGCAAATTTGAGTGAGATGTTTTTCGTCAGTTTATTTGCCACAAACAGCCGATGAATAGACATACCGACGTTCTTAGCTAAATAGGCTGTGTGTTAGCTAATTGGGGTTAAAGTTGCATCCACTTTTTTGACTTTTAGCATTTAGCGTTCAGACTTTTAGGCAGTCTGTTAGAGTTAGCCTGTGGGGACGTTGAGCCACACCTTGTTTCTTGGCAACCATAAACAAAATTGGTCATGTGACCACACATTTTTGAAGAGTCATCCATTTTACTCTCAGTGTGATGAAGAGAGGCCCATGGAATAAGTGATAAGCACATTTAAGATCAAAAAACTGTTTTTTGCCATTCAAAGTGATTTTTTTACGTTCAAGGAGTCCTGATTCTTGTGTGAACAATTACAGACGGGTTTTAGAAAATCCTGTGCATGTGGTAGTGCTTTAGGAAGTTATAATATGCGTGGCGTTACCCTTAAAATGCTGGATGACACAATTTTGTTAAAATGGCAGGGATGGGTGATTTGAACCAAATACGTGGGGCAAACCAGATATTTTACTGTAATTTTACATTGCATTCTTATGTATCACCCAAATGATGTGACATTATGCATTTTAGACCTGAAACCTTCATGTCATGCTGCTATAAATGGAAGACAGACAGGCTTCAACTCCTGTTGTGAGTTTGGACAGAGTCATGGGAGAGGTACAAAACTGGGAAGTCAATTCATCAGGTGGCACGATACATGACGATAAACAGGATGACTTTAAAGCAATACATTGATATGAAACAATTAGGAGACATAGCTGCAATGTTTCATTAAGTGTAATTGAATGTTGGTACCTGGTGTTTGAGTTTGCATAATGAAATGACACTGATGTCCCTGACCCCCATGTGGCTCAACTTACCCCTCATATGACTCAACTGTTTTTTTGGAAAACGTTTTATTTTAGATCCAGATTGATTATTCCCAGGGATGCACCACATTCTAAAATATATGTACATGTTTTAGTTGGAGACATTACTGTCATGTCCTCACTTTAAACACACCTCAAGTAAAAACTGGCTCAACTCACCCAACTCTCCCCTACAATAGTCTGTCTCAATTTAGATACATCCGTACTCTTACATGCATTACACTGTGTACTTTGTACTTATTTGTACATTTTTACAAGTTTGAAAATATATTAGAGCCCCCCCCCCCCTATGTAGCCAAGATGGTGACTGTTGAGGGTGAGAAGTGTCCAGCGTTCTACACTCAACTTCTTGACCATTATGAGTGCACCATCCAGGTACTCATAGTGCACTGTATTTTTCCATGTCAGTGTGAACAAACTTGCACTCAAAATAGTAAGTATACATTTGAAAGGGCGCGAATTGAGACACTACAAGTCTGCAGCTCCTGTCTGAATGCACCTTGATAATACATCCATGGTCCAAGCTTACCTTTATGCATTAGTCCAGCTTCTGTCCTTCCTCCAGGTGATTATCTCTTCAGTCTTAAACAGCAGAACCATTTTAGCACATTTTTAAACAATTTTTAAACATGTGGCAAACAACTATCAAACCATTCATTACAACGTCTAAAGACTGAAGAAAAACCTTGATGCTTTTGGAACAAATGCCAATTTGTGCACTGGTAGTCTGGCAAGAACACAATGAAAAGTGTGACTTTTACAATGAACACATCTGCAGTTAAATCCTCTTAATTTCCTGCCAATGGATTCCCATTTTACAATCGTCATACTGCATCATATCGGCAACAATAATCATTGTCTTTGTAAATAACAAAACTTTTTAACCTCAACAGTCATATACACGTATTCACATATATCTGCACAAAATACAAATATAGATTTATTTACGCTGTCTTTCTGTAACATCATTATCTTTTAAGCCTCTGCTGTCAGACATATTTATTCTCCTTGTAATTTACCAGCCTTGTTAGTTGCTAGTTACCAACAGAACACACAGGTGAAGCAGCTTTCCTTCCCATTTGCAGAGGTCAGATAAAGCTGCCAAAGTGTCTGGAGTCTGTGTCAGGCTCATCCTGGAGCTGCCTCCCCTGACACTAACATCTGATAAGGTTTCAGGAAATCCACTCTAATCCCTGCTGATCCACCCAACGGGAGGTAGAGGCCACCTAACCGATGCCAGGCAGTCGGTGAAATGAAGGGGTAGCCGAAGTCACTGCAGCTGAGCATCCGTGAAAAATCAAATAATGAGAAGAATCTATGAATGTGTTTACCTCTTTCGTCTTCAGTTTATTACAAAATGGGTAAATGATATCACTTTTTGTAGAGTGTCTCTTATCATTCACATGGACTTCCCCTCCTTTGCATCCATCTCATTTGCTCTCGAACTGGAAGATATTGATAGACTCAATACCTTTAAAATAAAATAAAATGGACCAATTTCATTTGCTGGCAGTGTAGCAGAGGCTCTGAAACAGCACTGAGACCAAAGACAGTAGAGATTTTAAGCCATGGAACAAGGACTGACTGATTTTGTGTTTGAGTAAGGTGTATCAAAAGGTGTTTTTGTTGTAATAAGGAACTCACAAACTTGATTCAGCTGATCCAGACCCTGTTGATGGGACATGGATCAGAAGTCGGATATTTTCTATTTCTTTAGAGGTTGGGTAAGTTTTTCTAAAATCCTGACTGGGAGGCACTTTGTCTTTGGTACTTTGACTTTAAACCACAAACCCTTCGCTCTCAAGTATGATGTGCCCACAGAAGTTTTGAAGCAGGGTTTTTTATTACAGTCTCGGACGTGCTCACACACAGCTCTCATCCCCGTCACTATGACTCTTGTCCAGCCTACACTTCTCCGTTTCCTGTCCAGGTAAAGAGAAGTCCTTCACTGTGCCACTAGAGTGCATCGCTCCGTTTCGTAACTTCCCGATGTCGCCCAGGGGCAGCTGGGTTGAGTTGTAAGCCATCGGCGGGATAGTGTTAACCAGTATGAGCTGAAGAGGCTTCTTCTCTGACTGGTACTGGCAGCGAACGTAGCGCAGGAATGCCGCTCGGTATGTTTTATTAAAAAGTGTGTAGACCAATGGATTGACTGCGGACGACAAGTATCCCACCCAGACGAAAACGTTCAGCAGGCCTCCCATGAGTCCTGCGTCACACGTCGCCGGGTCACACACCACCACCAGCACATTGGTAATGAAAAACGGGCACCACATGACCACAAAGAGAAAAAACACCACCCCGAGGACCTTAGACGCCTTCTGCTCGTTGCTGATTGACTGCATGGTGCGGCGACCAAACAGCGAGCCGGAGACACTCCCGCGGGCGCCTCCCAGACCTCCGCTGCTTCCCCTGCCACCTGCCTCACGGCTTATTGAACGTCTGAAGAGTTTCTCAGAGGACAGCGAGGTTTGCGGTAAGAAGCTCAAAGTGAATGTCGTGCTCCATTTGGGCCGTGGGACCAGCTGGTCTAAGCAGAGGGTGGCTTCGTTCTGCAGGGCGTTGATGGTCAGGAAGTAGGTGACGACCATGATGGTGAGGGGCACGAAGAAGGCCACGAAGGACCCAACCAGCACGAAGTTGTTATCTGTCAGCAGGCAGCTGCCATCTTTGAAGACCTTGGAGTGGTCTCTGAGTCCCAGCACAGGAATGGGCATGGAGATCCCTGCAGAGAGGAAGCAAACAGCAGAGATGATGAGAAGAAAACTACAAACCCAGAACAATCTCTGTGATTCAGGTAAAGATTTGAGGTTGTTTGTGTGGGAGAAGATTACAAAGCTGGCTGAGCAATGTTCTGCAGTGGTGGAAGGATTCAGATCCCAGAGCCCAGCGTTCAAAATGTTACTTAAGTAGAATACTATCAACAAAAAGAATGACAAATGTTTTGAAGTATGGCTGGACTAAGCTGCTGAAATTATGACAATTAGACAAGAAAGGCAAAAGACAAATAGCTGTGTGTAGAGGGAGAGGAAAAAAAACCTTTATCTGTGAGCAAAACGTCTTATTAAGACACATCATCATTTAATCTTTGCAGAAGTGTCTCAGTATTAATTCCTGTTAATTTCCAAGCTACATAAAAACTATTCAGTAATTGTACAACTGAGTAATGCAGGAAACAATGTAAACTGCTCTGATTTGAATAATTTAACAGTAACACTGTGCTGGTGTTCTATATTTCAGTATATAGTTTCACACCAGCGCAGTGGATTGGGAGAGATCATAATAATGGGAAGTAAAAACATTTCAAGAATATCATGTTAATGATATGTTATATACAGTATATCTGTATAAATAGCTGCATTTTAAATCCTGCGTTCAAGTTTAAATCCTGCGTTCATGTATAACTGTTCATTCAACTGTTGGTATGCCAAAAATATGTCTGTAGCTTGTCTGCCGCTGCTGTGCATCAGCATGCTAATATGCTCTCAATGACAGGTACAATGTTTACCTTGTTCACCATCTTAATATGGCAGGTTAGCATGCTAACATTAGCTAATTAGTAGAAAACAATGACCTAACTTGGCTTAAAAGGACCCTTGTTGTATTTAGCTTTGTTGGTTTGGTTAGCACGTGCACAGGGTTATGGAGTAACGGATTACATGGAACGGCGTTACATATTAGGATACAAAAAAAATTTAACTGTATTCTGTTACAGTACAGAAAATAAAGACGGAATCAGATTACAGGTACATTTTTGAAAAATCGGGGATTACTCGTAGGGATTACTTTAAGCAGAAAGTTTCTATGAAACAGAAAACGCAGTGTTATTTGCCCCCATATATTTTTTTTTATATACAGTCTGTGGTATATGCAGGGGGGCCGCCAGGAATTTTGGGTCCTATGACAAAAAACTCAAATTTGGACCCCTCTGCGCAGATGTTGTCACAATTTCTCTAGGACTGTGCGATCAAAAGCTTTACATAACTCTAATTAAAGGCTTGCAAGTGTCTGGCTTCTTGTAGTTCGATATGCTAGAAAAAACAAATAAATATATTTATACTCGATGATGATGTTTATATAATGTATAATATAGTATAATTTGATATTAGTTTATAATTATCTTTTGGGGCCCCTGTCAGTCAGGCTCTTGGTAACCCGGGGCTGAGTAAGTTAACTTAATAGGACCGCTAGCAACATGGCTAACCAACCGAAGTAACCAGCCACCAATACAGGCAGATGCAGGCTACAGTTAGCAGTTTAGCAAAAAGTAAAGCCATCACAGAAGCTCTGTGTAAATCATCTCAGTAAGTTACTGGATTCCCTGATGGTTGTTGAGGCTCTGTTTGGTCCTGTTCATGCTGTGTTCACTGGGAGGCTGCTAAGCGAGGTTTTGTTGCCCGCTCGCCCAGCTACGGTTCCCAATCAGGCCCTGTACCCGTGTAACACTTTAAAAAAAAAAAAAAAACAACAAGAAAAATAACCCTGTCCTGCCCAGCAGCCTGGTATTGAGTATGATGACCTGGATACCATATTGTGCCAGACAGATTTTACTTTAACAAGAGAGTATTAATATACTCCTTTGTCTGTTTATTATTTATTTAATTATGTATTGATTTGTCACCGGGTCGGACAGGGGGGCAGACACGGGAATGGGGGGGCACAAACAGACAGCACAGAGAAAGGACAAGACCTGTAAGAGAAGGGGGATGGAAGGTAGGGACAACAGGGAAAAGCAGTGGGAAACACCAATTGCAGAAAGCAACGAAACCTGCAATAGAACAGAGAGGGGGGCTTGGGGAGGAGAAAAACAACAACAAACAAACAAACAATAAAAATAATAATAATAACCAGCCGAACAGCAGCAATAAAAAGCTAACATAGTATGACAACTAAGAGAAAAATTAAAACAAGAAACAGTCCAGTACACTAAATAAGCAACACAGCACAGCCACGAGAGCTGGAATAATAACAATTAATTTCAATAAGTAACTGAAAGAAAAGCATCAGGAATAATTCTACTAGGGACAACCTAAATTTGTTTGTGTCTATGTGTGAGACTGTGTGTGTCTGTGTGCGTGTGGGTACATGTGTGTGCGCATAAGCCTGTTAAAGAATGTAGTTGTTAGTGAGAGTGGGGCGCCACGACTGTGCCACACTTACCCCAGCAACAGGCAGGCAAGAACCCCAGTAGCCAATAGGGGTGGGAGAAAGGAAAAAAAATAAAAAATCAATCAAAAAAACAAAGACTCCCAGATGCACCGCGATGCAAACGTGGAAGACCCGACTCAAATGCCAGTTGACAACGTAATGCAGACGGAACGCAACAAGCATAACCCGCGGAAGAGCAGCGCCCGGACCGACCGCAGCGCGCACACAACATAGACCAGTGCTCCCCCCCCACCCAGCACCCCACCGCCGCGCAGCAAACAACCAAAACGCCCAAATGCCACGCAATCATCAACACCAATGGACAAGTGACGAGTCCAACACGCACACTGCACGAGCACGGCGACACCCAATGCCCAGCAGCCCCCTGCGAATCCCACGTGCGAGGCCGGCAGACGAGAGAGAGCAAGCGGAATAACACGACAGTGAAAGCCAGCGGAGAGAAACACCAGCAGCAAGTCCCAGCCCGGCAGCAAACGCGCCGCACAGGTCACCGTGCACCCGCCAATAAAGGTCTGCCGGAAAAAACTAAGGCCGCCGGCACCAGCCGACATCCCCCATGCCCAGCACGACCCCTGGCTGCCGTGCAACACCAGCCAAACCAGCAACGAGGCAAAATCAACCAGCTCAGCTGCATGCCACCACCAACCCACCCACCCGTCAAGGGCCGAGAACACCAGGCACAATCCCAGAACAAATCGGAGCACAGCCCTGCCCCGCACCCACACTGCACATCCTGAAAACTAACTATATACCTCTCCAGAGGTATCCAGAGGGGTCCAACACCTTGCCAACACACACCCGCCCAGAAATGAGCAAAAGCCAGAAGCCCGAGTCCCACAGCACCCCCGACGCCCGGGGCTCCAGGGGCAGGACATGAGGCCAATGAGAATCTCCCCCACTCCTTCAACCCCTCTGCCTGCCTCTGTAAATGTATTGTTTTGTGTTGGATGCATGTCATGGATTGGGAAGTGTTGTATGGTGGAGTAAAGATAAGGTGTGTGGTAACTAAGGTGCAGTTAAAATTGGAGGGTAGTTGTAACACAGGTTTTTTCCAACCCACCCCGTCAACCGCTTCTTCCCGGTCCCCCACCCCTCCAACAACCAGTCGCCAGACCCCTCAGAGAACCGAAATACAATTATCAGGATGCACAGCATGCACACAGGACTGAGCCGCACACCAGCCCAGTCCAGGCCCGCACCTGATGCCCCCAACCCCCCGACAAGCACGCAAGCCAATCACGACCTACAGGTGAGCCAACCAACAATACCCCGCTACAAATCTAACTAGCGGCACACAACAGCCAAGTAATGCGCTGCACAAGAGAGATGCCAGCCGGCGCAAACCACCCCCATCCCCCCCGCAGCCAGGAAGATTACAGACCCCCACCCACGGCTACACCGTGACCCACACCGCACGTTCACCACCGGACCGAAACCCACCACAAGAATCCCCCCCCTCCAACCCCCACTGCCATGCCCGCTGCCCGCCCCTCCCCCCAACCCGGACCCGCACACAGGACCCACAGACCCCGTGTAACTTAAACACCTTTATAGCGTTACAATCTATGGTGAACACTAACACTCTTCCGGTGCTCTGATCTCCCAGAACGGGTAGAGTAAGTTCATTTGACCAGTAGAACAGCAGCTAGTTAGCTTGTTAACTAACTTCAGTAACAAGTAAAGCTATCTGTCCATTAGGAAACTCTGTGAATCACAGAATTAAGCAGAGCAGCAGGGGACATCAGAGAGAAAACTAGAAAAATATTTTCTCCATATTTCTATATTTTCTCCATCAAATATGATCCAGTTTCCCCAGAATCAGTGAAGAAAGTTGTGTTTTTGTGCGGTAATCAGTGGGGCCCGGCCCCAGAAACACTATGCTTCAGCAGCTTCATATTGTTTTCTTTGGATGCAAAATTAATACAAGTACAGAATGAGTAATCAAAATTGTAAAATGGTTTTCCAAATGACAAACTTAAATATCATCAAGAATACCTACAAAACAATGTTTTTTCATTGATACTGCCATAGTGGTGACATAGTGCAAAGCATATCATATAAAAACATTTAAACATGGATTTTGGGAACGAGAGATTGTTATTGTATGTTAAGTACACTGAGCAGCAAACACATAATTAATTCTCTCTTGTCTTCATTTGCCTATTTGGCATTAAAGTAATCCAAAAATAACTAAAAGTAAGCAGATTACATTACTTACTTACATTACAGAATTCACATAATAGTGAAGCTGTCATTAGTCCTGCACCTACATTTTTTCCTTTGTTGGTGAGAAAAAAAGCTTTTGTTAACATAAAATCTACCAAACATTCAAACTTATTTTTTCTCAGTGGTTTTCAGCAGGTAACAGCAGGTAGTATGCCAAATGTTTCACCAGACAGGCACTGCTATTTGACACCGCATTCACTTTTAACTGTGTCAAAAAAAGGTCAGGAAATGTTCTAAAACTATATTTTTCCATTTATTGTCTGTCTATCACTGTGTGTGGGAGGAAAGTGTGGTTTTGCCTCCACCTCTTCTTGTCAGTAGCCTCTCTGT